GGTTTTCACTGACAGCCTGTTTACGTCATTATCATCGGTCTCTATGTATCATCTGTGTAACTATGGTAACAAACATGTGACAGCGTTGCCGTTGGCAGCGTTCTGACTGAAGGTGAAAGGTCGTCCTGTTCGCTCTGTGAAGCTTCGTGGTGTTTTTCAGGGAGAAGGATCTGACGGCAAAGTGCATCATCGAGATGGAAGGAACCAAAACCTCCATCACCAACCTGAAGGTAACGCTCTTATTTGTCAGAATGGCGGGAAAACGGGCGCACCGCTCTGTTTGTAACCTCTGAGCTGTGATTGGTTCAGATCTCCGACGGCGTCCTCGGCGACTCGGTGAGGGAGCACACCAAAACCTTCACGTACGACTTCTCCTACGACTCGATGGACTGTAAGAGCGCCACCTTCGTCTCTCAGGAAAAGGTGAGCGCGTCACGCTCTGCAGCCCGTCGTATTGACTCCGCCTCCGTGGTGTCACAAAGAAGAAATGCAACCTCATTTGTTCTCTTTCACTCGCAGGTTTTCAAAGATTTGGGCTCCGACGTGCTGAAGGCGGCGTTCGAGGGCTACAACGCCTGCGTCTTCGCCTACGGTCAGACGGGCTCCGGGAAGTCCTACACCATGATGGGAGCGCCGGTGAGAGCGCCGAAGTGTCTTTAAACTGACTTCCTGTATTTACTCAAAAATGCCTCGAGCGCTGAAGCTGCTGCCGTTGGCAGATTACTCAGTTATTTGCCGGCATCGTCACTTGTCCGTGGTCGATCCGTGGTTTCTTCATGTTACCACGAGCTGAACGCTCTGAGCGCGTTGTGACGGAGCACGGCGATGGTGTAGATCAGGGGCGGGGAACTCCACGCCTCGAGGGCCGGGGTGATGCAGGTTTTAGATGCGTCCTTGATCCAACACAGGAGGTTGGCGTCTTGAAGTTCTCCAGGCCTGGTAACGAACTAATCATGTGACTCAGGATCTAAAACCTGCAGGACGCCGGCCCTCGAGGCGTGGAGTCTCCGCCCCGACGTAGATGAAAGCTCAGCCGGCTGATCTGATGTCTGTCTCGGTTTAGGGCGACGCCGGCCTGATCCCGAGGATCTGTGAGGGTTTGTTCAGCCGGATCTCGGAGGCCACTCGATGGGACGAAGCTTCGTTTCGCACAGAAGTCAGGTGAGAGTCCGACTCCGGCGCCCGAGGGCCAATCAGA